TTGGAAAGAAAAAAAAGAAAAAGAAGAAAAACAAAAAGACACTGACGCCAGACTTCCACTGCGAAACAGAAATTAATAAAACAAATTATCCATTTATTTATTTATTTATTTATTTATCTATTTATCTATTTATCTATTTAACTATTTATCTATTTATCATTTACTTATTTATTTATTTTAAAAGGGACGGAAACTCACCAGTTCAAATTTATCACCTCTTGGACGGACAAAAACTGCAGCGCAAAACCCTAAACCCTAAACCCTAAACCCTAAACCCTAGACCCTAGACCCTAGTTGGGCATATCTCTTGTGGGAGTAGTTCTTGGGATCGGATGGTGTTGAAAGGGTTTAGGGTTTGGGGCACCGGATTAGGGTTTAGGGTTTGGGGTTTAGAGTTAGGGTTTAGGGTTTACAAGCAAATACTGTGTTTTCAGGATTTCTGTTTCCTCTTCTTGTTCTAAATAGGCCTGCAAGATGCCTTGCTGCTGCTGCTGCTGTTGCTGCTGTTGCTGCTGCTGCCTCTTTCTAGCCCTTTCCTTCTGCTGCTGCTGCTGCTGCTGCTGTCGCAGCAACAGCAGCTTTTGCTGTTCACAGCAGCAGCAGGAACAGAGACACAACCAGTAAAAGCAGCAGCAGCAGCAGCAGCAACAGCAGCAGCACGCGAAGCACCAACAGCAGCACTAGCAGCGGCATTTAGCCTTACCCTTAACAGCAGCAGCTGCAGCAACAGTAGCGTCAGCAGCGACACCAGCAGCAGCAGCAGCAGCAACAGCACCAGCAACAACACCAGCAGCAGCAGCAACAGCCACAACACCAGCAGCAACACTACCCGCAGCAGCAGCAACAACGCCAGAAGCGAGAGCAGCAGCAGCATCAGCAGCAGCATCAGCAGCAGCATCAGCAGCAGCAGCAGCATTTACTTGCAATATGAGGGACCTTATTTCGGCCAAAGTTGGATTTGAAGGAAATCGCCGACAGAAAGAATTTATTAATCCCAAACACTCTTGCAGCTGTACAAATGCCGCAGCTGCTGCTGCTGCTGCTGCTGCTGCTGCTGCTGCTGCTGCTTTTGCTGCTGTTGCCGCGGTTGTTGCTGCTGCTATTTCTGCTGCTGCTGCTGTTACGGTTGCTGCTTCTGCTGCTGCTGATCTTGCGGATGCTGACTTTGTTGTTGCGGCTACTACCTAACGGATCCTAAACCCTAAACCCTAAACCCTAAACCCTAATCGCTAAAACCCTAAGCCCAGAATGCTAAACCCTGGAGTGCTTTTAATCTGTCCTCACTCTCCGTAAATGCCTGCTTAGGGTTTAGGGTTTAGGGTTTACCTTCTTACGGTTTAGCAGCAAATGAAACTGCAGAAGCAGCGGCGGCGGAAACTGCAGCGCAAACAAACCCTAAACCCTAAACCCTAGACCCTAATCCCTAAATCCTAAACCCTAATCTCTAAACCCTAAAGCCCAAACCCTAAACCCTAAACCCTTGGGTTGACTGACCAGCCCATACTGCACAAGACGGAGCAAAGCGTCTTCCGTTTCATCTCTGTATCACATCGCAAACGAGGGTTTAGGGTTTAGGGTTTAGAGTTTAGGGTTTATAAATTAGGGTTTAGCGGGTGGTGGCAGGAACGAAAGCTTTCTGCCCAAAATCCCAAACCCTAAACCCTAAACCCTAAACCTTAAATTCTAATTCTCGCTTTTGACGCAAGTCTCTGTACCTTGAAGATTACTTATTACTTCAAGTTAGGGGTTTAGGGTTTAGGGTTTAGGGTTTAAGGTTTCCTGCCTGAGACGCCTTGGGAAAGCTTCAACAAGCTTCGCAGCTAACTCAGTAGGGTCTGCTGCTGCTGCTGCTGCTGCTGCTGCATCCGTCGAGCTTATTCCTGTGGACGCCCGCCGCCGCCGCCGCTGCTGCTGCTGCTGCTGCTGCTGCTGCTGCAGGTCCGTGAGGATTTCTTCTGCTGCTCGCGCACATCTAACAGCAGCAGCAGCAGCAGCAACCAGTGGGTCCGCCTGCATGCGCCACAGTCCTATTTTCCTGCAGTCACAGACCCTAAACCCTAAACCCTAAACCCTAAACCCTAAATTTGAAGGCTTAGTGCTGCAGACGCAGCTCTGGAGTGTCTGTACAGCTCACTTTGCTGCTTCTTCTTCTGCTGCTGCTGCTTTTCCGTCTCTCAGCAGCAAATCTGTTAGCTGCAGCAGCACCCTGCCTCTCTGCAGCAAAACCCGCACAACGCACATAGTTGCTGCTGCTGCTGCTGCTGCTGCTGCTTGTGGTCAAGCTGCCGCTGCTGCTACTACTGCTGTTGCTGCGACTATTGTTGTTGTTGCTGCTGCTGCTGCTTGTGCCCAAGCTGCTGCTGCCTCTACTACTGCTGTTGCTGCTCCTGCTGTTGCTGCTGCTGCTGCTTACGGCGCTAGGTGTGGCAGCAGCAGCAGCATCGAGGGCTTTATAAACAGCTTCTGTAAGTGCTGCCTGTGTCTTTGCTGCTGCTCGTGACCACTGCTGCAGCTGCTGCCTGGCGTAGTCGCTGCTGCTGCTGCTGTTGCTGCTGTTGCTGCTGCGGCTGCTGTTGCTGCTCCTGCTGCTCTTGCTGCTGTGGGTGCTCCGGCTGCTGTCGCTCTCCTCTCCGCTGCTGTGGATGCTGCTGCTGCTGCAGCAGCAGCTGCCGCTACTGCAGCTGCAGCAGCTGCTGCTCCTGCTGCTATCAGGCGAATCGCTCTCGCTGCTTGCTGCAGCCTCAGCTGTGCATGCACCCCACACCTGCTGCTCCTGCTGCTGCTGCTGCTGCTGCTGTGGTTGCTTGCGTCTACGTCTTCGGGTCGCACGTCGTTGCTGCAGCTGCTGCTGCAGCTGCTTCTGCAGAGTCTGCTGCTGCTGCAGCAGCTGCTGCAGCTGCCTGCCTGAGGTAGATAGCCGCGCATGCAGCAGCAGCAGCAGCAGCAGCAAATCCCCCTGCACTTGTGCCCCAGGTGCTACAGCGCGCAGCAGCACTCCAATGACTTTTGCTGCTGCTGCAGCATTTGCTCCAGATCCGTACAGCGCCGTGACTCCTGCTGCTGCTGCTGCTGCTGCTGCTGTTGCTGCGTCTTCGTCTCCCGCGGCAGCAGCAGCACCAACAGCAGCAGGCAGCTCTAGTCCTGCTGCAGCAAGGGAGCGAGAAAGAGCAGCAGAGCAGCCAGAAGCAGCAGCAACAGGCTGCTGCTGCAGCAGCAGCGCCAGCTTAAAAAGTCTGTAGCGAACAGCCCTAGAGGGAGAAACTCTTTCATAGATTTGCTGCGTGCTGCGCCGCGTGCGAGCTGCTGCTGCTGCTGCTGCTGCTGCTGTTGCTGCTGTTGCTGCTGCTTTGGGTGCTGCGCCTGCTGCTCCTGCTGCTGCTGCGGACGCCGCTGCTGCTGCTGCTCTCGGGGCAGCCACGCCGCTGGCTGCGTCCTCAGCAGCTGCTTCTGCGTCGGATGCTGCTGCTGCTGCTGCTGCTGCTGCTTCTTCTTCATCTTCTGAAGTGTCTGAAAGGATGAAGAGGGGCCCCTGCTCGCCGCTGGGGTGTACGTACACCAGGTGGGGCTGCTGCAGCAGCGGGGGATCGAACGATCCCAGACTTTCTAAAGTCAAGTCTGCAAACTCGTGCTGCTGCTGCTGCTGCTGCTGCTGTTGCTGCTGCTGCTGCTGCGTGAGAGCAGCAAGGAAAAGCTCGCAGGGCTCGCAGGGGCCTCCTGCTGTTGCTGCTGCTCTGCTGCTGCAGGCCCAGCAGGTGTACATACACCCCAAGTTTGAACACAAGTTTTCATTTTCATTTTCATTTTTATTTTTATTTTTATTATTTTTTTTATTTTTTTCAATTTTGCCAAATGGCAGATCCAACTCGTGGCGAATCAAAGATATACAATCAGCTGACCAGCTGCTGCTGCTGCTGCTGCTGGTGCTGCTGCTGCTGCTGCTGCTGCTGCTGTTGCTGCTGTGGCTGCGGCTGCTACTGCTGGTGTCTCCTTTTAAGGGATCAAACAGAGCAGCAGATGTGGGCACTGCAGGGTAGACCCACGGGAAGATCTTGCTGCTGCTGCTGCTGCTGCTGCTGTTGCTGCTGCTGCTTCTGCTGCGGCTGCGATTGTTAGCAGCACCTGACTTACGTGTTGCTGCAGCAGAGCGGACGCCGATGAGCCGATTTAGCTGCTGCAGCGCTGCACCTGCTGCTGCTGCATTTGTTGTTGCTGCTGCTGCATCTGTTGTTGCTGCTGCTGCTGTCGATGCTCTTGCTCGTGTCGTTGCTGCTGCTGCTGCTCTTGCTGCTGCTGCTGCATCCCTATGCTCCAGCTCACTAATGACCCTAAAGTTAGCAGACACCATGGTGGGAAGTGAAGCGCATTTAGCTGCTGCTGCTGCTGCTGCTGCTAGTGCTGCTGCTGCTGCTGCTGCTCTGCGGTTCTTGCCTTTGAGGGCCCCTGGGGGCCCCCAAGATAAGCCCAGTAGTAACTGGAGAGTGAATTTGTGAACAGTTGAAAGCTGGAAACCCTAAACCCTAAGCCCTAAACCCTAAACCCTAAACCCTTGAGGGGCCCCCGGTGCGGTTGGGGCCCCCGATGCGGTGGGGCGGCGGGTTTGGAGGGTTTGTTGAATTTGATTTGTGTCTTCAACTCTGAAAATAAAAATTAAAATCAAAATTAAAATTAAAATTAAAATTAATGTTTTTAATTTTATTTATTTGAATTGTTTCAGCCTTTCGCGGAGCTGCTGCCGTTTCCACCAGCTCCCGAGGTGTAGGTACACCTGAACCCTAAACCCTAAACCCTAAACCCTAAACCCTAAACCCTAAACCCTAAACCGTGAGCGCTGAGCTCTAGCCCTTGAAATTCCACAGAGATTCCAACAAAGTTTCCTGCCCAACACCCCAAACCCTAGACCCAGTACGCCCCAGATCTCCACGAGGGTTTAGGGTTTAGGGTTTAGGGTTTACGGTTCTGGGTTTGGGCTGACGCCTGCAGCAGGCCGAGAAATTCGCAAATTCTTTACTATTTGCAGCAGTTGGGAAACAGCAGCAGCAACTGCAGCAGCAACTGCATGCCCAATTCACGAGCAGCAGCAGCAGCAGCACGAGCAGCGGCAGCAGCAGCAACAACAGGGAAGCAGCAGCAGTAGAAAGGAGAGCTGCAGCAGTGCAACCGGTGGCGTCACGAGCAGCAGCAGCAGAGCAGCAACAGCAGCAACAACAACGCCACTCGCAGGAGCAGCAGCAACAGCAGCGGCAGCAGCACGAGCAGCAGGAACAGCTGCAGCAGCAGCAGCAGCAGCAGCAGCAGCTTTGCATGCAGCTGCTCCGTAATGAGCGAAACAGCAAGCCCCAGCCTCTCCGCCTTGAGCTCGTCTTCTGCTGCTGCTGCTGCTGCTGCTCCCGCTGCTGCAGCGCAGCAGCAAATAGCAAATGAGGGGGCCCTTTTGGGGGCCCCCTGGGGGCCCCCAGACCCTTCCCTAATTTGCACTTTAAAGGGTTCAATAACGGCGTGGCATATCTTCACCTATCCCATTCAGACCGTAGGGTTTAGGGTTTAGGGTTTAGGGTTTAGGGTTTAGGGTTTAGGGTTTAGGGTTTAGGGTTTGGGGTTTAGGGTTTGGGGTTTAGGGTTTAGGATGTAGAGTACCTTCTTTGTCGATGGGATGAACCAAATGCTGTTTCTTGCGCTGCGCTGAGGACCGAGGATTTAGACTGGGGACTTCAGGGTTTAGGGTTTAGGGTTTAGGGTTTAGGGTTTAGAGTTTGGGGTTTGTGCAGCTGCAAAGCCGCATTCTCTGCGCCCGCTACTTGTCCCCCATGGCGGTTCCGGTGTTTCCGGATTACTCTGGGGACCCCGCAGCAGCAGCAGCAGCAGCAGCAGCACCCGCAGAAGCAGCAGCAGCAGCAGCAGCAGCAGCAAACCACCATAAAGTGCCCCTCGTGCTGCAGCAGCCGCTGCTGCTCTCCGTCTGCCGCCCGGGGGCTCTTAATGTCTTTGCGCTGCTGGCCCACGGCCTGCGCGTGGTCCGCCAAACCCTAAACCCTAAACCCTAAACCCTAAACCCTAGTCTTGCGCTCGAGCCTTTACTCGGGCCCCAAACCCTAAACCCTAAACCCTAGAGTGGAGCTGTGGCTTCGCAGGTCTATGAAGCCGAGGGAGTCGGCGGGCTTTTCAGGGGTTTTGTTCCTTCTTGCTTGCACAGGCTGTGCCGGTAAGGGTTTAGGGTTTAGGGTTTAGGGTCTCAGGGTTTAGGGTTTAGGGTTTGGGTTCAGCGCGCAAGGCTCGGATCCCGCATGAAACTGAGGGCTAGGGTCTTAACTTCAGGCCCGCCGCTTCGTCGCCAAGGGTTTAGGGTTTAGGGTTTGGGGTTTAGGGTTTAGGGTTTAGGGTTTAGGGTTTGTCTTTTTTCGCAGGGATGGGCTGCACTGGTTGTTGCTTCGTTACTGCTACAGAGAGACTGTCTTCTGCAGCCAGTATCTTTTTGACCTCATTGGTGAGCTAGGGTTTAGGGTTTAGGGTTTAGGGTTTAGGGTTTAGGGTTTAGGGTTCAGAATTTAGGGTTAACAGGGTACGGCGCCAGGCAGCAGCAATTTAAGCCGCAAACTCTAAACCCTAAATCCGTGAAGTAAGGAATTGGGGACAAGAATTTCGGCTTTACAGTCGAGGGTTTAGGGTTTAGGGTTTAGGGTTTAGGGTTTGTGGGTGCAGGGCGCTGTTTTGGCTTCTTCCGGGAAAAGGCAGTTGAGTCCCAGCTGAATTCTTTGGAGGCCCTAGCAGACAGCAGCAGCAGCAGCAGCAGCAGCAGCAGCAGCAGCGGCAGCGACAGCAGCAGCAGCAGCAACGGGAGTATAAAGGTGATTGGCAGCCTCAGAGAATTAGAGACAAGAGACACAGACAGCGATTTGTCCCCTTTGCTGCAGCAGCTGCAGCAGGACTTGCAGCAGCAGCAGCAGCAGCAGCAGCAGCAGCCGCTTCTGAAGTGTTTGGCCACAGAACTCCTGCCGCCAATGCTTCTCAAGGCGAGTTTCGCTGAGGGGTTTAGGGGTTAGGGTTTAGGGTTTAGGGTTCAGGGTTTAGGGTTTAGGGTTTATCATCCTGATTCCGTTATTGATAAGTTGCATGCAGCCAAAATGTGTTTGCTGTGACTTGTTGGAAAGAATTGCCCGCAGTGCAGCGTGTAGGGTTTGGGGTTTAGGGTTCAGGGTTTACGATTTAGGGTTTAGGGTTTAGGGTTTAGGGTTTGCGTGCAGCTAGCTGCGGAGTTTGCTGCTTATCCGCTGCTGCTGCTGGCGACGCGGCTGTCGGTGGTGGAGGTTCCTGGTGCTGCTGCTGCTGCAGTTTATTTTCCTGCTGCTGTGTCTCCTTTGAAGTTTGTGTCTTTTGCTGCTGAGCTGCTGTCTGCTGCTGCTGCAGCAGCAGCAGCAAGAGACATGCTGCGCCTCACGCTGCGGGCTGATGGCTTTGCTGCTTTTTGGAGAGGCTCTTTTCCTTTTATTTTGTCTCGATCAGTAGATGAATTAGTTGCTGCTTCTTTTTTTCTCTACAACAAAACCTGCAGCAGCAGCAGCAGCAGCAGCAGCGGCAGCGGCAGCAGCAGGGGCGAGGGCAGCGGAGGGAAGCGCGCCAGCAGCAGCGGCAACGGCGCAAACGGCAGCAGCAGCAACGGAGGCAACAGCAGCAGCAGCAGCAGACGCAGCAGCAGCAAGAAGGATGCCGAGGAGGAAGCAGCAGCAGGAGATGCTGCTACTGCTGCTGCTGCTGCTGATGCTGCAGCAGCAACAGCAGCAGCAGAACCAAGGCAGCAGCGAAGACCAAAAACAGATGAAAACTCCGTCGAGAAAAGGCTGCAGCAACTTGAAGAATACACCATGAGGGCCTGGCTATCTGGTGAGTGTTTAGGGTTTAGGGTTTAGGGTTTAGGGTTTAGGGCCTGCTGCATCTTTCCTGGGTCTAAGGATCAAAGGCTGGTGAGGCTGAGCTGCTGGAGTCAAGGGCTTAGCCTCCATGCTTCGAAGTCAAGGGTTTAGGGTTTAGGGTTTAGGCCTAATACTTTAGGGTTTAGGGTTTAGGGTTTAGGGTTTAGGGTTTAGGGTGTGTGTGCTGCGGCTGCAGCTATTCTGGGCACTGCTGCGGCTCCCCTGGCTCAGCTCTCCGTAATTCAGCGCTGCCAGTCTCGCCTAGAGGTAAACCCTAAACCCTAAACCCTAAACCCTAGACTCTAGTTTTGCGTCTTTCCTTCAAAGGGTTTAAGATATTGGGCTGCAGATGAATGCCTGGCCGCGAGGGTTTAGGGTTTAGGGTTTCAGATCCTCCTTTTGAAGCCGGATGTTTACAGCCCCTACTCCTAGTGATGGTTTAGGGTTTAGGGTTTAGGGTTTAGGGTTTACGTGTGCTGCAGGGCCTCTGCGTGTACCAGCCGTGGTTTAAAGTGCTGGCGGGGATGCCGTGGAAGGTTCGCTCCAAACCTTAAACCCTAAACCCTAGATCTGCTGCTGCTGCTGCTCTCGCTGCCAGCTAATTCAGGGTTTACGGTTTAGGGTTTAGGGTTTAGGGTTTGTGGGGGGGTCTGCGCGCAGCCGTTGATACTCCAATTCGGCGTTTGCTGCATCTTCTTAGCAATTAGCGGCGCTGTACGTTTTGCTGCTGCTGTTTCTGCCGCTGTTGCTGTTGCTGCTGCTGCTGTCGCAGCTCCTGCTGTTGCAGCCTGCTGCTGTTACTGTGTCGCTGCTGCAGCAGCAGCAGCTGCTGCTGCTGCTGCTGCTATTTCTGGTGCAATGCCACTCCTGCTGCGGCTGTTCTTCGCGGCGCCCTATTCCGCGCTAGCTCGCAGCTGCAACTGCTGCTGCAACTGCTGCTGCTGCTGCTGCTGCTGCTGCTGCAGGCTTTGTCATCGAGTCAGCAGCGCCTGGCAGAAATAGAAGACGAGGAGGGGGAAGAGCTCTGACGGCGGCAGTCCAGCCATGTAGCTAGCTAGCTAGCTAGCCAGCTAGCTAGCTAGCTAGTCAGCTAGCTAGCCAGCTAGCTAGCTAGCTATTTGCTGACGTTGCAGTCAGCCCCCATCTAGCTGGCCCCAGGCTAGCGCAGCATCCCAGCTAGCTGCTTACGAAGAGCTAGCTGCGGGCAAATAGCTAGCTGGCTAGATAGCTGGCTAGCTAGCCAGATGGCTAGCTGGCTAGCTAGCTGGCTAGCTAGCTGCCTAGCTGGCTGCACGGTGGGCCATTTGGAGAGTGTGTCAGCTATTTGGCTGGCTAGCTGTCTGGCTAGCTATTTGGCTGGCTAGCTAACTACCCAGCTATTTGGCTAGCTGGCTATCCAGCTAGCTGTGGCTAGCTAGCTGTGGCTAGCTAGCTGTGGCTAGCTAGCTGTGGCTATGCATTCGACTGTGGCTGGCTTTTCACTGTGCCTAGCTAGCAAGCTCCGGGAGCTGTCTAGCTCTGGCTAGCCAGCTAGCCGTGTGGCTAGCTAGTCAGTTGTGGCTAGCTGGCTGCGGAAGCCAGCTAGCTGTGGCTAGCTAGCCACAGGTGGCTAGCTAGATAGCTCTCGCTAGCTATCAAGCTGCGGCTAGTTAGGTAGCCAGCTAGCTACCTATGGCTAGCTAACTGGCTGTGGCTAGCTGGCCAGCTAGCTGTGGCTAGCTAGCTAGCCAGCTGTGGCTAGCTAGCTAGCTAGCTAGCCACAGCTAGTTGTAGCTAGCTAGCTAGCCAGCTGTGGCTAGCTAGCTAGCTAGCCAGCCGCTTTATAAGGCCAACACGCCCGACCCATATGGAGGGCAGAGACAGTGAAGGTTTCTGACGCGTCTTTGCTAGGCAAAGCAGCAGCAGCAGCAGCAGCAGCAGCAGCAGCAGCAGCAGCAGCAAACTGTGCACTGAACTCTAGAAAACAAGTGTCTGTATAAAAGCAAAAGAGAAGCAGCAGCAGCAGGAAAACAAATGGAAGGAGTAGGCCGAGGTGTACAGACACCTCAGCTGCCTATACACCCTAGCACCCCTTAAAACAAATTGCTGCTAGCAGCCTGCTGTTGCTGCTGCTACTGTTGCTGCTGCTGCTTCTGCTGCTACTGTTGCTGCTGCTGCTGCAGGAATACTCTGCAGCGGGGGCCCTCGAGTGGGTCCGGCAAATCTTAAACTCTAAACCCTAAACCCTAAACCCTAATTTCAGGGGCCCCTCTTGGGGGCGCAGCACTCTCCTGCTGCTCCTGCTGCTGCATTTGCTGCTGCAGGATCTGCGCCTCCTCTAATTGCTGGTGTAGAACCTGCTGCTGCTGCTGCTGCACTCGCTGCAGCATCTGCTGCTGCTGCTGCTGCTGCATCTTTGGCTGCTAGCTTAGCTACCTCGGCTGCTGTTCCTGGGCAGTGTGCTGCTGCTGCCGTTGCTGCTGCTCTTTCCATGTCTGCTGCTACTGCTGCTGCTGCTGGTTCCGCGACATCGCCGCGACTGTGCTCCTGCAGCTGCTGCGGT